TTAATTTTACATTTTTTTGGGCCCCCCCCCCCCCCCCCCCTTTTTTTTTTTTTATTAAAATTGCATTTTAGCATAGTAGATTGATGTACTTTTATTAAATAATGTGTGGTTGAAAAGAAGAGAGAGAAAATATATTTTAAAAATAATAAGGGTCAAACAAACACTTAATTAGATTTGTTATAATCCTAATTTTGTTTAATTAGAAATATTTTGCAATTAGGTCTTGGATTAGTCCCCTCTCTTTTCTTATAGGGGTTTCATGTTAATAAATACTCCACCATTATAGTTTGATTATATATCTATAATATATAATATATTAAAATATCACATCAACGAAGAATAATTTTTTAGACGATTTCTATATGTAATACCACACTTTTTTGTTTTTCTATATGTAATAAATACTATAAAATTATTGTTATTTACGAAATTTGTGCTATTAATTCTTAATTAATTAACATTCATATTAATTTAAATTCAATGAATTTTCACTTGACAAATTTTGAATGACATGAATTTATATTTATTATAGATGAATTTATTTATATTCATGTATCTAAAAATTTTAATGGCTGTTTAAATTTTTGTATTTGCAATTAATTTTTATGTATCAAATGTTTTATAAAAGGATTGCTCATCTATAGTATTTGATTATCATAAAAAAATTTTGAATAATAGAAATTGGGTTTTAAAAGTACAATTTTCTTCTCTAAATTTCTATGCTAAATTTTATTTTCTTTAATTCGTTTGAGATTCATCAAATCCTTCATCACATTGGTATCAAATATTACTTTTAAATCACTTAAAAAGTACTTTATAATAACATGCAATGCACGTTCAGCTTTGATTAGTATGAAAAAGCAAGCCTACTATAGCTGAATTTTTCCTTCATTTCTTTAGTCTTCCATTATTAGTTTTTCCCCCCTTCAAAAGTCTTTTATTTGACTTTAGCTTATTATTGTTTAAAAAAAAAAACCCTTTTATTTGACTTTACTTTCAAGTTTTTAAAAGATTTTATCTGTACAAAAATTAAAAATGATTTTATCTAAATAGTTAAATAAGATTTTAAGTTATGATTTTATCTATACTATGTAATTATGATTTGAAAACTCATTTTATTACAAACTCCAAAT